CAGGAAATTGAAAAGGGGAGGGCTGAGTATGTTGCCAAATTATCTGAGGAAATATCTTCTTTCAGTTCCCTGATCAGTGAGATGGAGCAGAAGTGCCAGCTGCCAGCGAGTGAATTCTTGCAGGTGAGACGGTGTTAGAAACTCCCCAGAACCTTTCTCAGGGCAAGAAAGTCTCCTAAACCTTCACTTTTGGAGTGTAGGAGTGAATAGTCAGAACATACAGTGATATTAAACGTCATTCATCACTAGACTGAGCCCTCTGATTCCATGTGCCGGGTGGTTGTTCAAAGAGCTAGTGTGCTTCCACGTAGAAACTTCCTGGGCCCAGATTCTGAACTTACAGCACTTTTCCAAAGGAGCAAAGGCAACACATTCAAAGTTTTTGTTTGTGTTAATTAATAACAAATAATTTCACTTTGAGCCTCAAGTTATGAAGACAAAGCGAGTCCCCTCCAGAGCAGGAGGGATCCTTAGTATGAGAGATGGGACTGAATTTCCTTTTATCTTTCTCCTCTAGGACATCAAAGGCACCTTGAGCAGGTAGGTGGCTCCTTCTCGCTCTCCCTTTTACTTCCCAATGCAGGGAAGGGATTTTGGACATGAGACCTGGCTCCCCATGGTCCAGCAGTGCAGAGTGTGGGGCTGGTTCCCAATCGCCCTCCGTTAAATCTAATCTTGGGGCTGTCGTCATTCTGATTAGACTCCAGAATAGAGCAGCCTGAGAAAAGAGTGATTGACCTACAGACAGGGTATTGATTTGTAGTGTGGCTGGTGGAATGGAGACCCCAGGAGATTGGGGATGGAGAATGAGTCTCTCATTTCTAGGTCATAGACTCCAAACTCACCTAGGTGGGTAGGGATGGAAAGTCAGGGCCATCTGATGACTATTCAATGAGCTGTTTATTAATTGTTTCTTATTATGCAGTGAGCGCTATCCGTGTGCTGGGCGTGGCAAGAGATATGATGGAAGAGACATTCCCAGCTCTAAGGAGTTTATAATGTGCTATTATCAGTAGCACTATGGCAGTGCCTAGAGGCTCAAGGCAAAACCAGGGCCCAACATGCTGGGTGCTGCACAGACACACAGACAGAGACAGTCCCTGTCCCAGGGAGTTTACAGTCTAAACAGACACAACTAGGGTGACCAGACAGCAAATATGAAAAATAGGGACGGGAGTGGGGGGTAATTGGAGCCTATATAAGAAAAAGACCCAAAAATCAGGACTGTCCCTATAAAATCGGGACATCTGGTCACCCTAGACACAACAGACACAGGGCAGAGGGAGGAAGGATTAAAATCAATGTAAGGGGACATTCAATAAAGACAAAGTGCTGCAGTTTGGAAGGAAAAATCAAATGTACAACTATGAAATGGGGAATCACTGGCTAGGCAGCAGGACTGCGGAAAAACATCTGGGGGTTGAAGTGGATCACACATTGAAGGAGTCGGCAGTGTGATGCTCTTGTGAAAAAGGCAAATGTCATTGTGGGACGTTGTCCCAGGTTGCTGTATTCACCGCAGGTGGTGCTGCCTCCTGGCTGTTCGGGGGAGTAGCTCTCTTCCAGGGCCAACCCCTCCCCTTGCCGTCTCTCCCCCATTGTGTCTCTCTCACTCTGCAGCCTCATCTCTCGCTCCAGGAGCTGCAGCTTCCTCTTCGTGACTCAGCCTCCAGCCAGGTCACTAAATGGTTTCCCCTTCTGGGGTACAGAGTCTCACTGGTCCCACTGCCCAGGCAATGCCGCTCCATCAGTGGCTGGTAGGGGAACTCGAGCCCACCCACTGCTCCAGGGTCCAGCCCAGGGACCCTACCACATGCAGGCAAGGTCTGCTCGCTCCCTGGGCTGCTCCTACTCACCTCCCATAGGCTTTCTTCTCCGCCCTTCTCTCTTACAGGGGTTAGGCTACATGACCCTGGCAGTCCCTTCTAGCCCTCTGATTCTAAGTACTCCCTTCCCCCAGTGCCAGGCTCCCAGCATGCTGTTCTTTCCCTCGGTTCCCTCCTTCCCGTTCCAATGCACAGAGGGGGGCAGCGGACTTCCTCACTGCAGCCAATTTCTGTTGCCAGCTTCCTGGCTCTATCCTAGCCCAGCCCCCACCTGCTCAGCTGAGCTTCATCGTCCAATCAGAGGTTGCTTCTCTGGCCTAAACCACTCATGAGTGGCCTGTCTCACTAATCTCCTCTTTCTCAGCTTCCTTCACTCCTTTGGGGGGCTGATGTGGGCTGAACACCCACCACAGATGTATTAACAGGAGTGTCAATGTCAGACACAGGAGGACGTTGTTCCACCCTTCTTGCCAGGGTGAGGCCTCAGCTGGAATCCTGTGTCCAGTTTTGGGCACCGCACTTTCAGAAAGATGTGGAAAAATTGGAGAGAGCTCAGAGAAGAGCAACAGAAATGATCCGAGGTTTAGAATGGATGAGCTGGGAGGAAAGGTTGAAATAAATGGGTGTGTTGAGCCTTCTCTTCTCTAGACTGAGGGAGACCCTGCGAACAGTCTTCAGCTATGTCTGAGGCTGTTCTACAGGGAGCGGTGATCAGTTGGTCTTCACGTCCCCTGAGGGCAGAACAAGAAGTAATCAGTTTAATTGGCCACAAGGGAGATTTACATCAGTGTGACGGGTTCCCGGGGCGCAGCCTGGACTGTGGGTCTGCTGAGCCCTCCAAATCCCCGACCTGGGCTGCCTCTCGCACTGTGATGCTGATGTCAAGGTACAAGCCTGACAGGCCCTGCGCTGACACAGACACCTACGGGCAGGGACCCGCCCAGCTGTGTTACATGAATCCTCTCCCAGGCATTGATGAACCAGCAATAGAAAGGCGCCAGCCAGTTCCCCCCAGATCCAGCCCTGCCCCCCAGAACTGCACCGACTCACACTGCTCAAGGCTCCCTCGGGCAGTGCAAGTTCATTCAGTAGTTTGCCGTCCCTCCGTGTGGAGTGGACACACACTGGCCTTTGTAAGCTGCGAACCCCTGTGCTAGTGGACTGACCATTGTATGTATCCAAAGAACTAGATAAGAACATAAATTATCTTTGAAATGGGTTAGTGGGTCTCACGCCAGGTCCTGGTACGATGGCTATCTACATCACCACAAGGATTGTCACTAATTGTCTCCCTTAAATGGTGTACAGGATATAAGTCAGGGGATCCTGCTTACCCACACTCACAATACAAGACCGAGGGGACGTTCAGTGCAACTGAAAGGCAACTAGTCTAACACTGAGAAAAGGAAATACTGTTTTTTTATTACACAATACATTATTAACCTGTGGAACTCATTACCCCATGATATTACTGAGTTTCATAAATGCATAAAGTTGGATGCCAAAAACAACTGTAAGATCATCACATTTGACCTCCTGTATATCACAGCACAGGCTCCGACTTGCTCATTTCCCTGTGGGTGTTAGTCGTCTGCTTCGCCTCGGGCCCAGCCCCCCCTCAACCCCTTACCC